TATCTACTTGAGCTAAGAAGCACACTCTTCACAAGTATCATTTTATGTCCCATAGTCCAGTCTAATCTTTGTCTGAAGAGTTGGCCTTGGGAAAGGTTTTAGTTCTGGTTTGACAGAGAGTCCAGGGGCCATGCTTTCTGGGGTTCCTCCAGTCTCAGTCAGACCATTAAGTCTGGTCACAAAGTAAGATCTTTATCTCACTTCATTTACAAAGATAAAATCTAGGTGTAAAAAACAATACACATATTAGATGGAAATAAGAATACTTGTTTAACCGCCAATTGGAAAGGCCTTTAAGTACATAAAATCTTTAACCTCTTAAATGGCTATAAATACACTGTAAACAAAATCAGACAATTGGTAATCACGGAAAAAAATACAGCACATAGAAAATATCCTCCTACATATAACATATTCTAATATCTCTCATGCTCTGCCCGCCAGCTACTGCCCCATTTCTCAGCTACCCTTTACAGCAAAACTCCTTGAAAAAAATCTAGGGTACTCAACAGCTAAGCGCTGGGCTACTAACCAAAAGGTTAGTGATTCAAACCCACCAGGTGGCTCCTCAGGAGAAAGATCTGGCAATCTGCTCTGGTAAAGATCACAGCTTAGAAAACCTTATAGGGCAGTTCTACTCTATCACATAGGGTCGATATGAGTTGAAATCAACTGGAAGGCACCTAACAACAAAAACATCTCCAGTACCTCCCATTCTCTCTTCAATTCACTCCAATCATGCCTCTATCCTATCATGCCACTGAAACCACTCTTGTCAAAAGGTGTTAATGATGTTTATTTTGACAAATTCAGTGATCACTTTTAAGTCTTCCTCATCCTCTCACCTGCAGAGATGGGGAAAGAGAGATACCAAGCCACATGAAGATAGCCCAGGAGCAGAAGCTCAAAGAAACAAGGAACTTCCTCTGAGTCGACGGAGAGAGAAAGCCTTCCCTTAGAGCCAGCACCCTGAATTCAGACTTCTAGCCTCCTGAACTGTGAGAAAATTAATTTCTGTTTGTTAAAACCACCCACTTGTAGTATTTCTGTCATAGCAGCACTAAATAACTAAGATAGAACTTGGTACTAGAAGAGTGAGGTGCTGCTCTAACAGATACCTAAAATGTGGAAAAAGTTTCGCAATTGGGCAATGGGTGGAAGTTGGAAGAGTTTTAGGGTGCCTAATAGTAAAAGTGTAGATTTCCTTGAAGAGACTATTGGTAGAATTATGGACGTCAAACGCAATTCTGGTGAGGGCTCAGAAGGAAGTGAGGAAAGCTATAGAGGAAGTCTCTATAGTCTTGGAGAACACATATGGCACCAGCAGCAGAATGTTGCCAGAAATGTTTACATTAAATGTGCTTCTGGTGAGGCTTTAAAAGAAAATGATGAACACATGATTGGTCAGTGGAAGAAGGGCGATATTTTGGATGCAGTAGCAAAGAATTTGTCTGAATTATGTTCAAATGTTTGGTGGAAGGTAGAACTTGTAAGTGATGAACTTGGACATCTGGCTGATGAGATTTCTAAGCAAGA